CTCCGCCATTCAACCATGCCCAGCCAAGTTGACACACTGAAGTAACACAATTTACAATAGCTACCAAAAAAGTTTAAATATTTGGAAATAAATCTTAACCACCAGCCACTCCTCAGAAGGAAGATGGGGCAATCTACTTCCATAGTGATACTGCCTTGGAAACCCAAGGAGGGGTCGCTATGAGTCAGGTCCAACTCGATGGCATATGACAACAACAACAACAGAATGTAATTCACTATCAATCCTGCTAACCTACCTGTGGTATAATCTTAAAATCTTCCTGATCCAAGCATACTGGGAATCAACTCAAGATTTTTGCCTTCCATATTATACTGTCACCCTTAACAGAAGCTCAGTGGTATAATGTGGGAAGAGACAAAGGGTGATGGCTGAACAACACGATGCACATAATTAATGGCAATGAGCTGTGCACATAAAGATTGTAGAAATGTCAAATACTTTGTTACATATATATTTACCACAATTTTTAAAAATAATAATTTTTAAAAAAGACTTTCTCTTTCAGATCTTACCTGTACTCAGGATTCAGAAATGATTTTGGATGGGCACTGATGACATGATAGGGCAGTGATGGTGGGAGGGACTCTTAGAGGCCTCCCATAGATTTCAGCAGTAGCAACTAACATATTTGCAGGCACCTCTGCTGTAGAGGATGCCGTGCTAAGGATAGAAAGAGCTCACAGGCATGCTCCCTGCTCCTAAGGACCTCATAGTCTACTATGAGGAGATGGGAGATGAGGTATCAGAGAGTGAGGTCTCTTAGCAATGGCAGGCAGTGTGAGCAACACACCAAGGGATGGGCTCTGGGTTAGTGCAGAAGGAGAGTGCTTCTTCAGGGGACGTCTTCAGGGAGGAGGGGACTCAAGGATGAGTGGGGCTTGGAAGCACCTGCTACAGAACCTGGCACTCAGGAAATGCCTGAAATGTAGGTGATGAGTAGAGGAAGGGACAGTGTTCCAGCTGGAGGGACAACCTGCACCAAGGTACAGGCAGGTATGCCTATGGCAGCTCTGAAGTTACTTGAAAAAGGTTTCATGGAAGGGATTAATAGGAGGTAAGGTTGAAGGTTCCAAAGTCAGAGTTTGACCAGTTGAAGCTTCTAAACTTCACATAAGATGTATTCTAGTAGATGCTGGCAAGTGGCGGTATTTGGAAGTCATCATGGGATCAGGGACCACTGGTGAAAATATCGAGACAACACGGATGTTTGTAATATACCCTAGAGATGATCTGCCTGTGGCCTCAGGGCCCATCATACAAAAATATACAGGCTAGGTGAACATCGTCTGCATGTCTGCTAGAAACCGTTCCTCCAGCCTCTGCCCCAGTCCCACTAGGCCAGCAGGAGCCCCTCATGTGGCCAGAGTTTGACTTCAGAATTCACCCTATTCTTGAAATCCTTCAACCTCCCAGCATTAGATGGAGCTTCAGGTTCCTTCTTCCTCTTCCCATGACCCCTCAACATCTCACCAGAGCCACCTGTCTATGTATGACCTTCATCTGAGAAGGAGAGTCCAATAGCCTGGCTGTGTCTATATCACCACCACTGCTACCCCAACGCACAGGCAAGAGAGCTGAGGGGCTGGTGAAGGACAGAACCACCTCTGAAGCCCCTTTTATTTTCATTCCAGGTACAGACACCAACCTCTTTGCACAGTGAGCAGCAGGACTCCCTGCTTCTACCCACCTACTCACAAGGGACCATGGGTTACCCTCCACCACCCCCACCACAGCCCCAGCCTCCACACCCACCGAGAAGGGTCGGCAGCCTGTCAGAGTCATCAGGCCTCCAGCAGCCACCACGGTAGTACCCTGGAATGGTAGTTGGGTCACAATCAGCTTTAACCAATGGACAAGGGGTTGGGGGGTGGGGCACAGGATTTGGGGAGAAGAATTTAAATCCTTGGCTTTTGCACACGCGGCATACATTTCAGAATTCCCTGAAGGTAACAATCTCGAGTGCTGTGGTTGGCACAGCGGGAAATGACTGGGGACACTGGCCTTGTTTCCCTTGCCTCCATAGCTCTCAGATACACCCTACAGCCATATTTGGATGTGAACTGAGTGTCAGCGTAAGCGTTGTTACTCAGTTTACCTTTGGATATAGCACCTCTCGCTGCATCCTGCCAAGGGCGCCCTGGTTACTCTAGCGGACTGTGGCCCATCCACACGAGCTAGTCGGCCTTCACTCTCGATCGTCTTTCCTTTGCATTTGAGAAGCACTGAGTCAGAGATCTGTTGAAGAGAGAGGATAAAGAGATTATTTTTCATTATTTTTAAATTGTTGTTTTTATTTTAATTTGCACAGCTGCACAGAGGAAATAACTTAGGCACTTTCTGTTTGAAAAAATAATAAGGTCTCTTGACTTCATTCAGAGACCACAGTAACAAAAACAGCCCACCAATCAGATAGCAAAGCTGGTCATTATTAATCAAGCTGCAGGTCCACACCCTCTGGCCTAAACCCTGATGGAATTAGGCTCTTCACCCCACAGCTGTTCTGGTGGATATTTTTTTCCACTAAATGTAACACTGGACTATTTCCTGTTTACTTCGTTAATTGCAACTACAAAGGCAGACTGGAAGCAAAGCACAATCATGCAGCTGATGTTCTGGAATTCTGTTGATAACTCTCAGAATATAAAGGGAGAGGTTCCACAAGCCACCCAGGCCTGTGGGACTCAGGTCCCGAGGAAACTCCACCACACGTTGGCCCTTTGAGTGAGAATGCTGCATCTTTCTACATATCTTTCATGATTATACCGAGGATTGGATTTTCCTTTCAAAAATGCACTTTGCTTTTTTTGTATGTTTTGTTATGTTGAGATGTTTCTAAAGAAAAGATTTTATGTAATTATAACACGAAGTGTAGTGAATTGTACAGCTGTTGTAATAATGACCTATTTCTATATAAAATAAAATTGTATGGATTATGTGTAAATTATTTTGTATCTGAGACACCAGTTCCTTTCCCAAATACAAAAGTATAAAAGTTTTCTTGTGTTTTTCTGTGAGTGGACATTTTGTAATAAATTAACAAATTTGTACAATTTCCTCTGGAGGCAGTTTCTGTCCCTTGTTACATATGCATGCATACATTTTTTTCATCAGTAAACTTTTTTTTTTTTTTTACTAACTTAAAGATGTTTCTAAGGGTAATCAAAGGTATGGAAAATGTGAAAGCAAACAGTGAATAAGGCAGGCAATGGCATTTGGCGGGGGGGAGAATTTTTTTTTTTTTAAGTTGTGATTTGGGTGAAAGTTTACAGAGCCAGTTGGTTCATTCAAAAGTCCATACATACCCTGTTTTGTGACATTTACTGCAATCCCATACTAACAGCATTCTTCCCATTTCCTCCCTATACCCAACCTCCCTTCCCTTCATCTTTCCTTCCCATCCCCTCCCACCTTCCTAGCTCTATCCCTGGGCAAATGCTGTCCTCTTGATCTCATATGCTTGATTGTTGTAATGAGTGCATACCCTCCTGATGTTACTATTCACCTTATAATTCTATCAATCATTCGGCTGACAGTTCACTCATGGGGGTTAAGTTTAGTTCCTGGCTTGAAAGGTATCTGAGGGCCATAGTCTCAAGAGTTCCACCAATCTTCATTAGACCGGTAAACCTGGTCTTTTTCATGATTGTGAGTTTTGTTCCACATTTTCCCACACTCTATCTGGGACCTCTTACTGTGATCCCTTTCAGACTGGTCAGTAGTGGCAGCCAGGCACCATCTAGTTCTGATCTCACGATCACGGAGGCTGGAGTTCACATGTTCCCTTAGTCCTTTGGAACTAATTATTTCCTTGTGTCTTTGATTTTCTTCCCTTTTCTTTGTTCTGGACAGGGAAAGACCAGTAGCTTTGCACCTTAGATGGAAGTAGATCGCTCAGTCTTCCTTCCACAAAGTGGCTGGTGGGTTTGAACCACCAACCTTCTGGTTAGTAGTCAGATGCCTTAGACACTACACCACAAGAGCTCCTTTACTGTAGGAACAGGAGTACAGTTTAAACTGGGGAAACACAGAAAATATTCAATGAGTGTGGGCTAATGCCATAAACATGAAGAATGGGCTATAAGGTACCATGGTTTGTTGGTATTTACATGAAATTGTTTACAAGGAATTCTTACTAGTAACTGGAAATAAAATGCAGGGAAAAATTGCAGGAGGTAGATTTTGGCTACCCACAAGGTTCCTGGGATATTAAAAAAAGATTAGTAATCTTTATAGTACATCTTGACACCTGCAGGCATGTCTTGATCTTTGTGGTATATGTCTGACACCTTCAGGCATATTTTCTGAGAATTGGCAAAGCAGAGGGAACTTCTGAGGAACAGTCATGTTAACAAAATGGGGTCAGGCTTACATTCCAGTTAGAAATTTCAGTCATGTCAAGTGCCTTAAGTTTCACAGATTGTGCCAGGAAAACAATGGTGTACTGTAGAAATGACAGGAGAAAGAAAAGTTCCTGGGAGCATGTCAACCTTGTTTTCTCTTTTTATCAGTTGCCATTCAGTTGAGTCTGACTCATAGTGAACCCCTGTGTGTCAGAGTGGAACTGTGCTTTGGAGGGTCTTCAGGGGCTGTTTCAGAGACAGATTGCCAGGCCCTTCTTTCAAGACCTCTCTGGGTGGACTTACGGTTCCAACTTTTTTGTTAGCTGAACACATTAATCATTTGCACCACCTAGAGATTCCTCTCAACTTTGTAGACATATGTAATCTGTGGAGAAGGCCAACACATTCTCCACCAAAGCTTTCATAGCCCATAATGAAACTCACCTGGGCTGGAATTCCATAGGCTCTGGCTGCCAACATTTGGGTATCTGTGATTTGGGCAGGGGATGTGTGTCTGTGTCTGACATGTGTGCACACATATGTTAGGAAGGGATACTACTCATCCAGTGGGACATAACAGCATCATCTAGGAGGCTTCTGCCCACTACAGACATCTCCCACCTCTTCCCCTGAAGCTTCATTACACTGCCATAAAGGTACCCTGGCACGCTGTGGGTTGAGAATCACTGAGATGCCAATGCTCAGCACTGTCCTTTCCAAAAGCATCAGCCCAGGAGAGCTAAGTTCCTTTCCTTGCTCTTCCATTGCTATAGCTCTGTGCCTCCATCTTCTCCTCTGTGAACTGGGTTTTATGACCAGTGTCAGTTTGGGATGGCATAGAAAGGAATTATATAAATGCATCAACAAGGATGCTAACATTATTCACACAACTTAGTATAATTCATACATGTGCTATATATTTCTGCATTACCCAGGAAATGGTAAGTCCCAACATTTTACATATGCTGGGAATGATTACTCTTTAAAGAAACCAGAAATGAACCTCTTTTTAAACCACAGTCTGTGAACCGATTTAACTTTAAAATTGTCTTGTAAATTCAAGTTTATATATCTTGATTTTTCAGACAAACAGTTTGTATTTTAGTTGGCTTTCAGAATCCTTCAAAACAGAACAAGATTTTTAATGGAAACAGTTTATTTACTGTCCTAGTATTTTCTGAATGGAAGCCATTAAAGGGTGGAGTATGCTATGCTACTAATTCAATTTAGCTTTGCTTAAATCTTACACATGTTCAGAATTTGGATAAACTCGGAAAACTCATTGTGTAGTGTTTTTAAAAAAAAAAAAAATCCCACATGCAATATGTTGTTGTTGTTATGTGCCGTTGAGTCAGACCAACTCATAGTGACCCCTCCTTGGGTTTCCGAGGCAGTATCACTATGGAAGGAGATTGCCCCATCTTCCTTCCGAGGAGTGATTGGTGGGTTTGAACCGCCAGCCTTCTGGTTAGCAGTCAAGTGCCTTAGGCACTACACTACCAGAGCTCCCCACATGCAATATGGGAAGTTTAATTCTTAAGTTTTTTTTTTTTTGTATTTTTTATTTTTTTTATTAGGATTTGGGTGAAGATTTACAGAGTAAATTCACTTTTCATACAGCAGTTCACATATACTTTATCTCATGTCATTGACCAAAATTTACAATGCAGCAGCTCC